GTGGTAGTAGTAGTAGTAGTAGTAGTAGTAGTAGTAGTAGTAGTAGTAGTAGTAGTAGTAGTAGTAGTAGTAGTAGTAGTAGTAGTAGTAGTAGTAGTAGTAGTAGTAGTAGTAGTAGTAGTAGTAGTAGTAGTAGTAGTAGTATTCATAACAAAAGTGGTAGCGACAAAGTTGGGAGCGCCTGCATTCAGCTCCTTAAGTCTTGCATGTTTTGACCAAATCTATGGTGACTGTCCAAGGCAAGATCGAACAGTGTTCTTGACAAAATGGATTCGATCGTAGTTTGTATCTCGACGCCAAGATTCAATCTGGGTGAAACGATGAGTATTCTTAAAGAGGCCGAGCATGGAAAACATTGCTCGCTGTCTGTGCAGCCTTCAAATAATTCAGTCAGATGTCAAGAGATCAAGCAGCAGTTGCTCTATAGCCACGCTAGTTTGTTGGTCTTTTGAGGTACACAGTAAATGAGTACCGTGAACAGACTTCTAAATGCTACAAACGAGGTTTACCTGACCAGTTTCAAATGCGAATGACTTTTTAAGATGAATTCCTGGCAGTGAGGTTCGGGGAAGCATAACGACACGCAGGCGGTTAGTGGTCATTGCAATTCGCAATTCGATTTTCGGATTTTCACCCCCATCGTCTGTAAACGGTACGGCCTCCATTTTGTCCAAAAAGCAAGACCTTCTACACATCGCATGCAAGCAATATGGAAGAAAGCTTCCAGCTGGAACTTTCCTCAGGGCATTAATAGTCTGTTTTGCGGGTTGGCAGGGCGTCGGACTGAGTCCGGACGCGCGAGGCGACCATGTGGATGGATATAGTACTGATAACTAGCGTCGGTCGGTTTATCCATCACGCAAACTCTGTCCAGATAAACCAGGCACAATCCCATGTCCAAACAGTTGCCTTCCCAGACTGTCAGTCACAGCGAACACTTCTAAAATTATCCGCTGCTCCAGAGTCGCAAGCTGAATTTGTTCCTGTTTCCTAGAGCCTCGTTGGAACCCTCTAGATACCTCAAAAACGGCCAATCCGAAAACCTGTTGTTATGTTTTTTGAGGACACGCTGAAAATATGACGAAAGGATTTTCTGGTGAACGACCAACCCTACCTCCCTTTGGCAAGCATCATGGGACCATTCGCGGTCAGTTAAGTGCCTTGCATTGGGTATGACCGACTACATAAATTGGACTGATGAAGACTACTGGCATCATGCTTAGGTGGTGCAGATAAGAATGCTGAACATTGCGTTAACCAAGTGTGGGTTACCGATGCCTTCCCGTTTGCCAATGAGTGAGCAACATATGGGGCCAACAGAGAGGCTGTGCATGGGTGACCGGACATTTGACTGTTTAACTCGTGTGCCCAATATCTTGAGGAAGACGCCTCCGTCGTGCTGTCATAAAAAAGAATTGTCCAAACCTATGGCAGCAAGGTTACCAACAAGCGTAAAAGATTACGCCAATTTGGCGCGCTGGTCATTGACTCCAGAACTATACGCAGTTGTAGTTCCCCACACAGATGGTGTGAACATTTCACATGGCATAAAAGACCGCAAACGGCAGCATCATGACTCTGCGTCCGCCTGTGGGACACGAACTTCGGTAAACACACCCCACCACACTGGGAGACAGTGCCCCGAAGCGAGGAGCGACGCCCGAACGGACAGCCGAAGACAAGTGTGGTCACAGCGGCGGTGGCGGTGGCGGCGGCGGCGACGACGACGGCAGCCGTCGGCTAAGCGGCGCGCGCGTTCGCTAGGCTCGTGCGCCCGCGTCAGTCAGTCGTGCCCATAACACGCCACTACCGGCCGCTCATTGGTTGAAATCCAACGAACTTTCCAATGAGCGCCAATCAGATTCGTGACAGGTCGATATGGCCTGCTGTGTTTAGCCGTATTGTAGCGTGCCCGGGTCTACTCTTCAGTACTCCGTATTCCGTCACACGTACGATCGCTCTAGTCGTAAGATGGCTTGGGACGGGACTTGCGCTCAACTTTTACAGGACAGGCCCTCGCTGAGCTGCCTGGCCATCTACGAAAAAGGAACTGGCACTGTGTATGGCGCGACGAATGAAGGCATGAAGGTAGGGTTTTTGTTTCATGCTATTTTTGGCGCGATTCCGGGAAAGTTTTATACTTGTTTCCCGCATGCTTACCTACAATAAACCCCTCCATAATTGCCCCTCCCTCTGATTTCTTCAAGGAGCGTCTTGTCAAACGTGTCATTTAAGGTACTAACTTATTCTGCCGCCAGATCCCGTTGCAAACAATTTCGCGCGGGTCATAACCTTTTATTGCATTTCGTGTCCGTAATCTCACACCCACGTTTATTTTAAATCACCAGACTCCCGAAGTATCAGCAACGATGCTCTCCTTGTGTGAGACGATCAAGGGAACGCATTCCGCGACTTCCTTTTCATTCCTTGGGGACAAATATATCGTCCTTCGCAAGGATGAGGACTGCCTTTTGGCAAAGAGCGGGAAGAAAGTGTGCTACGTCTACCTTTGCGAAAAATGTAAGATTCAAGGCCGCGTCATCATGCATAAATTATATTTTTGTCATCTACCTTCATTGCTGTCCCTTTGTGAGATTTGCTTGAGTACCGGATGTTCGCGTCGCACGGTAATTGTGCTACTGGCAGATAGGCTTTCCTATTATATTTATCTCATTCTGGTCGCAAATTAGTTTTTCCTCACACTACTTGTCAAAACGGGTAGACCCGTAAGCCTCTCCAACCCCGCACACGGGATATTTGCTGCGCCCTTCTGACCAAAATAGTCCCATTTTCTTATGCGTGCCAGAGTAAATCCCAACTTCCATCTCCCTGCTCATCTTGAGTTAAGCATTCTTTCCGCTTCCCTGGCTTAGTTTTGTGTCGGGGGACTCAGGTGAGCCTATCCAAGACTGACTAAGCACACATGGTTTTGTGCGGTAAAGCATGCCGCACGTCATCACCTTGTCCAGCCACAACAGCAATCTTCCAGGGTGCCAGCGAAGTTTCTTCCGCGTATAATTTATTAAGCGCTATTAGACCCCATCTTTTATGATGCTTATCAGGCGTTCTTACCTATGACACACCCGTGCTCCTAGCAGCAGCTGCTTTTATCAAGTTGCACAAACAGATTGCTTAGGTCAGCGGAGGTGGGTTGCAGACTAAGCAGGCTCTAGGGCCTGATTAGAATTGACTGCATTATCAGGTTGCAGGGGAACGAACTCAGTCACTCCGACTGCCCCAAAACCTGACAACACCACTGTAACATGGCGACCGTGAACAAATTTGATTGCCACCGTCCCGCGGTTTAGTTAACTAGCCGAAGAGGATACAACCTCGAACAAATAGTCCGAGCAGCCAAATGTGGATACGCCCGTGCTCAAAAGTACCGAGGAACCTCACAGAAGGTCCGGTTCAAATCCCATCGTTCTTTCTTTCCAAACACGTAAGCTAAGACGGACTAGTTCTTACTGCGTTTTTCCTTTCCAGTGATACTAGTCGGCGTAAGTGAAGACACCGAGGCCAAGATGAATGCCGGTGCAGCAAACCAGGCCATGGACTCCTTGTGCAAATACTACAAGTCTATAAACTACTGAGATGCTGGTCACTATGCACCGGCTCGTCCCTGACAGTCAGCCAAACTCCGAAGTGCAACTTTTGATTCAATCCCCGAACAATCTCCCAGCGCTTGTAATTGGATATCCGCACTGATTGTCTGTGAAGTTTTGTTTCCCTAGTAAATAATGCCTTTTGTGCCTGCACTTTTTCCGACTGAGTCCAGTGCGTCGTTCCCTAGTAAATAATCTTTTATGACTTCATCTATCTTCGTGTTGTCGCCGGTGTGTGTTTCACTCGAGGGTTGACCCTCACGCAACGATGATCAACCACTTCCGGCTCGCGACTATCTTCCACGCGCACCGCCTGTCACTCGCAATACTACTAGATGACTGACCTGACGAACGCTCTGTGAGCACTAATCTCTGCGGCCATTGAGGTATCGCTACGGGTCAGTGGGCATTTGAAGCCTGCAAAACCCCGGGGAGCAGTTTGGATTCGGACGCCTTTGTCCTCTTTACTCTGTTCTATTGGTAACAACTTGACTGCGAGGTATTTGGAATCCCACTCCAACCGGACAGCCACCAGTGCCTACGGATGCCTTCTCCTGGTCAGAGGTGCAGCTCGAAAACACCATGGCCTTCGCCGCGTTGAGGGCTAAACGGACTAATATAGCGGTCTCACTGTTAGCATGCCGTCATCGTCAGTTAATTCGAGTACGTTCTGCTGCGACTTAAGTACTATAAAAACCGTATTGAGCCTATCTCAGAATCCGGACGACGGCATAGTTAAATATCTCGGATGACAACGCAACCATGTCGAACGTCAGACCGAATGCCGATTGTTTCGGAGCAGAGCCTGCGCAGTAGTGGATGGTCAGTGGTCCTTGACCACTGGGGATTTTTGTTGTTATACCGTCTAGTGCCTCCTCATCCGCTCCAGAGACTTGGTGAGCGGGGTCCAGCGCCTCAGCGAAGCCAGCAGGAGAGGCGGCCGCTGGTGGAAGGCAGTCCAGGAACGCGCCGTAGTGCGCATGATGGATCGAGGTATCCATATGATGCCCACACACGCGATCTATTTAGGTCTCCTCGTCCCACGCGTATTGGGACGACAAGGACCTTTACAGCAATGTTGGCGTGACATGTGTTGCGGTGTTTCCCACTTATTTTTTTGACGACATCCACAAAAATGACCAAACCCTCAGTCATCAGCACCGAACGCGTCCTCGTTAGCAAGTATGCGAGATGCACCTTCAAGCGTGTGCCCATGGGAACATGGTCTTGCCAGGAGGCGTTGCTAGTTTCAATGCTGCGCTACAACGCACTCAGCCACGAGGTCTGGAGATGACTTGAATTAGTCAGCTCGGCCGGCCGCACGACACTCTGTGGGATAGGAGGTAACCACAGTCTACCCCCTCCTCCCGGACTCGGAAACGCATTCTACCAGCGAAGTCTCTCAAAGCCCTTTTAACAAGTCATTAGCCGCATGCGTTTGAGTTGATTTTTACGCTTTGTCCAAGTAGATCGTGATTCCGGAACTCGAGGTTTGCCATTGCTCTCCACCTGTCCCGGCCCAGCACCCAGGTTAACTACTGATCTTCTCTAAAGAAATGGAACATCTCACGCGACGATTTCGCCCGAGAGACTACTAAGTCGAGTCCCCTGACAAGTTATTTTCGCAGAAGGATCACTAACCCTGAACAACTACATGAGCAAGGTCCACTAACACGGATGGAGCCTATCAAGTGGTTGTACTGCTTGCATAATCCGGAGTGCCAGTAACCCTCACTTCAAATCTACCGAATCATATGGCTGCGACTATGCCTAATTTGGCCGGCCTCTGCCGTCTCGTTCAGTATTTCCTTATATTAGGCGAACTGTGGAGGCGGACCCGCTGAGTTGGAACCCCCTCCACTCTTTGGTTGGAGACCGAATTTTGCAGGCCCAAGAAGTCCCTTGGTGGATCGCGTCAGATTAGTTTTGTGTTGACACATTTCTCACCTCCAGTGAGGCGACATTGATGGATTTGAGACGGCAGCACGTCCCCCCCCTTGGGCTCAGCGACAGACGATGTGCGCATACCACATCGACCAGTCTTTCTTCGACGACGAGGGACACCCTCTCAGTCCTGTCGGAGCGAGTTTGTACCGTTTCATGTAAAACACAGTTTGCTGAATTCATTCGACAAGTCCCTCCCAAGAAACAGTGCCCCACTGGGTCTGACACTGCACCCCCGAAATGTTGGCATTTGTTATGGTGCGCAAATCCGATAACGCCTGCTAGAATCCAATATGGCTCCCGCGTCGGTCCAGCGCATATACCACTTGGCCCGTGTGGGGGGGGCACACAAGGACACTTATGGGAATAATGGTAGGCCTTAATTCCAATTGGCATGTCTGTCGGCAAACTGTCAAGCCTAACTATTCGAGAAGGGAATTTCCGATGCATTAAATCGAAAATTGTAGGCAACAGGGCTGATGGCGGCCCTGGGTTCATTCGAGGATGCGCCGCTGCTCCCACCTCTAGTTTGGAGTCCGACTTGGTTGAATCATGTCCATGGTGCCTTCCTTCCCTGTTGCGCCGCCTCAGCGGTCTATTCCAAGGGCGGCTGCACAATACCCTCGGGGTTGAAGAAGGATTAACCGAAACATGTGGGGGAGAGAGAGCGCGCGAGATAGAGGGGGGAGGGGTGACGATGAACCCGTCATGAGAGTTGAGAAGGCACTAGCTGCCCACGCCAGCGCTCGATATTCACTGAGTTCTCGGCAATAAGGTTGTTATTAATAGGTATTTCGGCAGACTTTGACCTAACTGTGAAAAACTCGGTGGAATCCGAACTCCCACACGACAAGGGGAGCGCTTGAGCACAGCCAACACTCCAGCCACCTGAGCTATGAGGCCCCACCGGGGGAGGGGGACGTGAATTTAATCACATTTGGGTCAAGTTACCCGCCCTGTCTACTGCAAAGTATGGAACCCACCAGTTCTGATACAGTAAGCTGACTCCCCCAGCAGGATTTCCCAAGTTAGCAATCTTGAATTTGCCAGATGACTACCAGGCCCGTGTGATTAATAGGTTGTTATTCTCATTTCAGAGAGAACCATTCAGTGCAGGG